AGAAATACTCATCCACACCTACTCCATATCACACTTTTGATTGTATGTGCGTTTTTGTCGAACAGTGTCACTAGTTTTCAAATAACCGAAACCAATGGCAATAAATGGAATGAATCATGTCAATGATATAAAAATAAGCTTGATAATAGATCTCATTTCATCTTTAACATCATTTTTTTATTATTACAAGTTCTTATGCTACACCATGTGCATAAGAAAAAAAAAATAGACAGAAGAAAAGACAAGTCAGATTTTGTGCATTGCGAGTGAAAGTTATTGACTCAAGCGCTCGGCACATCTACAACGAAAGTGGAGAATGACAAAAAAAATGAGAAGATAATAAAATGCAACAGCAAATAACAGAGAAAAAATTTGGAACAGATATAAGATAAGATGTAAACCACTGATGTATTTTAACGAATGGAGCAACACTTTTTTTGTTCTTGACAATACAGAGACAGGGTATAAAAAATAAAGGAATGAGTGATGCATTTTAAATATTCTCAAAGATGGAATTAGTAGTATTTTTTTCGCTACAAAACCCCGATTTTTTGTATCATATTCATCTAGTTAGTCAGCACATCGATTATGAATTTGAATATCTTTATAATAAAAGTAAAATGCCTATGCTCCGTTCTCACTATACATGAAGTCAGATCCTTCTGATTTCTATTTTGAAGACAGCTCAGGTTTGGGTGTAAGTATCTCTTCGCTTTAGATACCTACACCTTCAAAATTCTTTCTTTCAAAGAAATTATTATTAGATTTGTTATCTATTCATGTATACAGTAATTTCAATTATATTAATTCTAGATATGCTATGAACAGTTTCTTTCTTCAACAAAAAAAGGATAGAAATTAGTTAGAACCATATATTTCTGTATATACAAAACTATTTGTTGCGTGTGTGTGTTTTTATGGAAATGTATTTAATTGTCAAGATGCGAGAACTGACGTAGTATCCGATGAGATTTACTTTTCAATAGTATGAAACAGACTTTCTGCAAATTACAAGAACAATTTACAAATGAAATTAATTTATTGAACACAATATTAGTAGAAGACAACAAAAGAAAATCACAAGAAGAAGAATATGAGTGTTATAACCTTTTCTCCAACTATATCATCTTCGATGCCCACACCCTGACCCTATTAAATACATTGAAATACCCATATTCATATCCACACCCACACAGTGTAAAGGCGATTAAGTACGTTTATTACAAACAAACTTTTCATGAAAATGAATTTCTCAAAAAATTCCGTTACAAAAACTAAATCGACTGATCAAATAGTTCTTTATCAAAAGAAGACTTTTATTCGTAGGCTCGATGACGCCAGCTTGTTTTGCAACCCATAATCTTTCGAAACAAGGCGTACCATTGTACTGCCAAAAGTAAACCGATGCTAAACGGATGCAGAACAGCTCCACGCCAGTCCTGACGAAAGCGAATGACTCCAAGAATACGAGGTACATAGGCAACAAGAATGTTTGTGGCAGTGACAGTAAAGAGCGTGAACAGATAAAGCCCGTTGGAAGTCGAATAGCCATTCATCTGTTGATAGATCAGATAGCCAAAATTCAGAAATGGCTGAATTTGTCCTAGAAAGAGTAGTGCCGAGACGGGAACGATGAGAGCAGGAGCACCAAGACCTTCAACAGCATTCTTTGCTAGACCATTCCAAACCTCGCTGGCGCAAGTGTACATTCGACAACTAGCTAGATCCGTAATGTCGGCGATATCGGTTTTGAAACCAGCTTCGCGAAAGAGACGAGGCAAGCGGAGACCATCGTGCATGGTGAGCTTAATGCCGCTGTGTCCACCACAAGCAAAGTAATGATCTGCGCGAGTCATAATGAACTGACCACATGCGGCACCCAATCCAGGTTCTGTCGTTGTTCTCATGCGTGAGATCGGAAGAAAACCGAGAAGAACAAAGTGTATCAAGGGGAGGAGCATCCATTCGAGCGATGTTTTTGTAATTTGTTGTGGAAAGCCACTGACTAGCGAATTATCGTCGAGGAAGTTGACCATGCGGACGACACAATCGGGTTGTAAGCGGACATCTGCATCGACGAAGCAAAGAATGGGATTGCGAGCGACACGAGCGAGACACCAACATGCATGTTGTTTTCCATTCCAGCCTAGAGGAAGTGGTGGAGCACGTTCAAGTCGAATCCGTTTGTCTGTTTCAGCCAGAGCGAGAACAATGGCGTCGGTGCCGTCTGTAGAACCATCATCCATCACAACTACTTCAAATTCGACGTCACGTGTCGTGACAACCGCTTGAAGTGCAGCGGCAATTCCATCAGCTTCGTTTCTTGCGGGTATGAGCACGGAGACGGCTTGAGATTGAGTTCCTTTTCTCCTACCAGGTTTGTCGTAGTAACCGAGGTTTACAATAAATAGAATTGTTGGAAAGAGTGCACAGGGCAGACACAGAAGAGCAAGTGCAAGACTCATCAGGTTATTGCTAGAAATATGTGTGTTGTTTGCTAGATGTAGATACGTCTATATACTAAAAACAAAAAAAGATTTAGAAGTTTGTAACGAAGTTGAAGTTCTATATTTATACTCACTATAATACAAGCGAGATTGTGTGCGATGATTTACTTCTTTTGATAAGACAAGAATGGCAGAAGAAAAAAAAATATCATCGCTAATGATAGAAACTCGTTGTGCTGATATAAAAGAGAAAAGAAAAGAAAACAGAAAAAAAAAGAAAAAAGAAAAAAAAAAGAAAAGAAAAGGAAAGAAAAAAAATCGTTATTCTCGTCCTAGTCTACTAGTTTCGTTGTGACGAAGGAATAGCGGATAGTTTATTATGACGTGCAGGACACTACTTCGTCCTATTCAATAGAAAGTTACGATTCTTCTTCTATACTCGTTCTTATAATACTGGTTATATAATCACAACTAGCAAGAGAAAAGAGAATAGTGTCCTTTGAAACTTTTTTCTTTCCTCCTTATCAAGTACACATATATGTTGTCTGTTATATAACGCATCTTTACGTCTTATGATGTTTTTAGTTAGACTTTGATCATGCAATGTGCTATGAATAATATAAAATTATCAAGTAATACAACAACTCCTATTTACTGCGAAGAAGATCATCTAACTGACATCGAAGTCTACCTCGTATACAAGGCTATTCATCGTAAATCTTACTTTCCCGATCCGCACATCACTCATCACATTCTGCTACTGAAACCTACCCAACGAAACAACACATTCTATTACACAGATTTGGACTCATCCAATTTTGGATTTGGACGAATCAAAATTGTTTTTGGTCCATATTATTTCTATCCGAAAAAAACCATTTACTACAGACCACTCGGTATCTCACGCAGCAGAACTCTAACTGAAATCAAACAATTTGCCGAACGAAGTATTCTTAACGGACAAAATTTCTCTATGTTCACACAGAATTGTCAACATTACGTCTCATCGTGTGTCGAATTTTTGGAAATCGATAAGAGTGGAGTGGAAGACAGTTATGTGTACTGGACGAAAGAAGCACAGGAGATGACATTGCGACCATCGTCAACAGCTCGAATGTTCTCGCTGAAACCGCTTGCTTGTCTAGCACTCATCTGCTTCTTTTTAATTTTACCTTATTTATAACACTCGATAATATTTACATGGACATACGAGGGTGTGTGTGAGATTAGGCCGTATGAATATCCCGAATTTGATTGATTCTTATTAATGTAATTATATGTGAATCGACTAATAAAATAAGCAGAAATCGAATAGAAAATATACGAACAGCAATGCCGTCGTCGATAGATGAAGCACCACCACTGTACGAACTAGCAATAAGATAGTTTTAATTTTAATTAAGTGTGAGACGAACTGCTGTGAGATTTTTTTTTCTTGTCTATACTCACATGTGTATTTTAAGGTAGGGGTGAGAATTCTTTGTTATTGTTATAAATAACAAATAACTTTTATTTTTGAAAAACATCTTTTCTCACCCCATTGTATATTTTAATTGTGTCCGTTATGTAAACTTACATTTTGGAACGAATTTTCTATATCTCTACCACTGATTTAGATGGTTCAGTCAAGATATGAAGCTAGCAGAATTTTCAGAAAAAAAGTTATTGTTATAAATAACAATAACAAAAAAAAATTATTGTTATTTATAACAAATAACTATTAGGTTGACCAAAAATTTCTGCAATACTTTCGATTCTGAACCTTTCCGAAAGTGTTGCAGAACTTTTTGGACAACCTAGTAAAATTGTTATTGTTATTTATAACAACGAGATAACAATAACTTCTCACCCTTATTTTAAGGATCAACATGATATTGTTCTTCATTCAAGTTAATCGATTCGACTTGATAAAGTTTCAATCTAATCACTAAGTCTACGAATCGAGTTATCACTTGGCATTGAGGGTGTGGGTGTAGAATGATAGAACTACCCATGTTGTCTTGTTTTTCCGCATCACTATCAAAGAATAACTGAAGAAAGAAGAAGACGATATTATAGTTTGTTCGTTCTTATTATGTTAAGCCATTTGTTTTATGTTAATGTTCAACAAAGTATCTTAACAAAGTACGAAACGTCACTGACATTTTTTTATTAAATAAAGGAAGAGCACTTATCAATATCAAACAATGGTATCTAATTGAATGAATGATGAAAAACACTCTTCTCCTGTTTATAAACTGTTCAATGTGGATATATATATCTCATCTCAAAATCGGCACCACAATTAGTAAAACGATTTTCTTATGAAGAAAAAATCTCTCCTATAAAGACTGATATCTTGAGGGTGTGAGTATCTATGAGTCTCTTCTATAGCCACGTTCACACCTTGTAAATGTAGTTTCTACACATCCACACCTTCATAGGTATGTTAATATCAGTAGTATTGCGCCATAAAAAAAGGTTCTTTTTTAAATATCTTTTTAAATTTTCCATTTTATTCTTGTTTATTATAGGAATAAAAAGTAATAGACTTTGACATTTTTCTGTTTATGATTAAACAACTTCATAATCAATAAACACACCATAGGAGGTCAACCTAGATGGACCTTGTAACTTCAGAATAATCTGATAATTAGAATCCGATGGTTGAATAAGTTTACTTTCTGCTGGTGTCACTAAGATTTCTTCTCTTCCAAATATTCTAAAAACATTTGTAATGGCACCCATTGTACGATCTACGTTAAACTTAATTGAATACTGTTGTTGTTTTTCTGTAAATGGTGTTTCGATAATCATTGTTAAATTATCAACAGGATACGACCAGAAGAACTTGACTGAAGTACATGTTTTTGACGTATTTGTATGAGCAAAATTGAGCGTCGATGATTTGCACCCACCTCTAACACTGACTGTACCTTCACATGGATCCGCACCATAAGAGTAAAAGTGAGCTTCACACGACTCACGCATATGATTGTCTGTAACAGGTACACCTTGAACAATTGCTGCTACCATCACTGCCACTAACATAACGATATAGATGAAAATAGATGCCATAGTTTATCAATAATAAACAAGAAATACTTTGATTTACTTATATACGACGTAGATAATGAAAGAGAATGACAAAACAAAAAAAGTAAAGCTGGTATTAAGAGTTTGATGCCGATCAAATTACAAAAACTAATCATTTTTTTTTGCTTATCATCATTACCATCATTCAAAA